ACTACTACTACTACTACTACCTACTACTAACTACTACTACTACTACTACTACTAACCTACTACTACTATACTACTACTACTACTACTACTACTACGACGACGAACGACTACTACTACTACTACTACTACTACTACTACTACTACTACTACTACTACTACTACTACTCTACTACTACTACTACTACACTACTACTACTACTACTACTACTACTACTACTACTACTACTACTACTACTACTACTACTACTACTACTACTACTACTACTAACTACTACTGCTACTACTGCTGCTACTACTGCTACCACATACTACTAACTACTACTAGCTACTACTAAATACTACTAGCTACTACTACTACTACTACTACTACTATTACTACTACTACTACTACTACTACTACTACTACTACTACTACTATTATTATTATTATTATTATTACTGATACCTTCTACTTCTTCTGCTACTACTACTTCTTCTTCTTCTTCTACTACTACTACTATTACTACTACTACTACTACTACCGCTACTGCTACAACTACGACGATGAGGAGAAGGAGGAGGACGGCGTTTACCGCTCCTACTAATGTTGCTTTCCTAGAGGCTCCACCTCCTAGGGTTGCACGGGGATAATGAGTATATCCTCCCTGCTGCACCCCGAGACGTGTCGGCAGGGTGGGTTGGGCGTTTCGCCTGAGAAGTCCCCACCATTAATGGTCTTGAAGCTTTGAACTTGCCGCGGTTTCATGGACGAAGGGCGGGCCGTTGTCAACATGTGGTTCTCGCCTTCGCGCCGCGCGCATTCGCTTGAAGAGCTCGCAAGAGTTTCACATATGAAGGGCGGACAGTCTTCAAAATGTGGTTCTCGCCTTAGCGCCGCGCGCATTCGGCTGACAAGTGTGCAAGTGTTTCACGGACATGGTACGGTTCCTTCTCAAAAGGTGGTTCTCGCTTTGGCGCCGCGCACACTCGTTTCACACGTTTTCGCATTTTCAAGGCTCACTATTTAGGGTTGACGTCCCATCAACTGTGGTATGACGAGACGTAGTATTGTCAGGGCGCAGGGATCACGTTGATTCGCGGTGTTGAAATCCCAGGAACGGTGCTCTGGCACGTTTCAAGATCGTCAGGACGCAACAGAATCGTTGCTTCGCGGCGTTGACGACGGTTGATGGTTTTCAGACGATTCTTTTTCAACGCGGCATTTCCCGCAGTGAAGATGAATCCTTGTAGGGACTTGTGAAGAGGGAACTTGGAGGGAGGGGTTATTTCGACATGATTGATGCGTCTTGGGTTTGCACTGGTCCTCCCCTCCTCCTCCTTTTCCTCCTCCTCCTTTTCCTCCCTCTCGTCGTCCTCCTCCTCCTTGCCCTCCTCCCCCATCCTCCCACTCTCCCTCCCTCTCTTCCTCCTCGTCCTCCTCCTCCTACCCTTCTACTTGTCCTCCTCTTCCTCTTCCTTCTGCTCCTCCTGCTCCTCCTCCTCCTCCGCCTCCTCCTCCCTAAAGACACTTGGGCTCGAGCAACCTTTTGGTTCGGCTGAGACCAAGCCTCGCGCCTTCTCGTGGTTCAGTGGGGGCATCGAGTCTACCACATTTTCTCGTGCAGACGATCTCGGTGGCGAAAGGCGAGGTTATTTGGAGGCTACGGTCAGATGGCCCGTGCAGTTTGCTGGGGAGGCGATTTATCTGCGCGTTTCAACGTGTCAATGTCGGTGGCAGTATGCGTGGTTTCGGTGCTCGCCTGGGGGTCAGCGCTGCAGTCGAAGGCCCTGCTCATGCTCGAGAGCTACGTGCGTGGGATGTCTCGGATATTGATTTAGACTGCCATGCTGGATCCACATGTAGGGCCTCGTCCGAGACAGCTGGGGGCCAGCACACAGGCTAGGGACGTGTTCCAGCTGTACGAGGACGTTTGGACGTTACCTTAGTTCAGACTCCGACAGTGGTGATCATCTCGTGCATCTGCCCACCGGCGCCGTGTTGGGAATACTTAGGGTCGCTGCTGCGGAAATACATAGGGCACATGCCAGACAATGTCGAGAGGAGGCTCATGTACGATTGCATGGCTTTTGAAGCTATGATTGGGCAGCTTCCTCACGCAACGGCGATTTCCATCAGTCGGTGTACGGGCCTCATTCGAATGGGGGGCACCGCTGCGCTTGTGTTATCTATGGGGCAGGTGCCTGGGTATCGTCCGAAGGATTGCAAGCATGGGCCTGACCAATTATTTCATCATCTTCACAGTGGGCATGCTGTGGTTGCGAATGTCATTGCTGGCGGCTCGACTGATCCTGCTCAGTTCGTGGGAAGAGGTGGAATGCTAAACTTAGTCAGTTTGTGCACTCCATCCACGTCTGACGGGTGGAATATTTTCCACGGCAGAGTGGCACGGGTCGTTCGCCAATGCTTGCGCTCTCAGTGTTCTTGCAAACGTGCGGGCGAAGGAGATTCCAGTTACGGCTGGTGCTACCGAGCGAGAGACAGTCAGTCTGCGCTTTCTCGGTGGCTACACTGAGACGCGCGCTGATTTCCACGAGTTCACGAAGGACCACACGACCTGTCTCCCCGCCCCTCTGGCTCTTCAGTGGTCCTTTGGAACCCTCGGAGGAGACGGTCGCGGCTGGCGAGGCCCGCAGGCGTCATCTTGCTGCGTCTGGCCATGGCGCCGTGGAGAGAGGGGCATCGTGGGCAAGAGCCGCAGGTGCAGGCAGTCTTTCTTGGAGCAGGGAGCTCCGTCGCAGCCCTGGCCCGCCCGTGTGCTCCCCTCCCCTCCCGCGCCCCCCTCTCTCACACACACACATACTCTCCCTCCTCCTCCTCCTCCTCCTCCTCCTCCTCCTCCTCCTCCCCCTCCTCCTCCTCCTCCTCTTCCGCCCGACGCCTCTCCTCCTCCCTCCTCCTCCTCCTCCTCCTCCTCCTCCTCCTCCCCCTCTTCCTCCTCCTCCTCCTCCTCCTCCTCCTCCTCCTCCTCCTCCTCCTCCTCCTCCTCCCCCGCCCCGGTTGCGGAGGCCCGGGGCCGTCGGGGGGCCTAGGCGGGGGCGTCGGCGCCCCGCCTCCTCGTCGGCGGGAGCTGCTCGGGAGCCGGCGGCGGCCCGCGGTCCAGCCTCTCCGCTTCCTGCGAGTGGGCGATATGGCCAGCTCCTTGAAGGGATCCAGTCGGGGCGCTGAAGAAGGAACCCTTTTCGTTGGGGAGGGGCTCGATGCTCCTCAACGGTTCCACACCTTGCCTAAGGTTTCCCTTACGTTTTCGATGGGAAACCGAAGTTTAACTTATGAAAAAAAGGGGCCTCGTTCCTTATTTAGGGTTCCTTCGGTCAACGCCTCGACTGTAAGAGGGGTGCTGTTCTGCGCGAGCTGTGGCGCGTGCTGCGTGGGCAGCGCGCGCGCAGGCTCGGCGCTGCCTGCGCGTGCCGGGGCGCGAGGAGGCGGGAAGCAGAGCCCCCTCTTCGGCAGAGGGGCGCGAGGCGCTCTCTCTCTCTCTCTCGTCCCGCTCGGGGCGTGGCCCCGAAGCCGGGCGTGTCCGTGCCCCGCGCGTGATGGGGTGTGCTTGTGCGCCCAGGCTCGCTCTTGGTCGCCGCTCGAATAACCTAGGATCTCCAGTGCTCCTCCTCTTCCTCCTCCTCCTCCTCCTCTTCCTCCTCCCTTCTTTTCCCCCCTGTCTCACGGCGCGCCATGCGGTAGGTTCGTGTCGTGCCGACGTGGCAGGGATCCCGCCGTGGGTGTCCAAGATTAAACGCCCCGAATGGACCGGCATCGTCCAATATGGAACGATCTGGTGATCGAAGTGCCGCCGATGGTTCAATGTTGAACGAGCCACGCGGTGTCGGAAACCAGCCCCAGGGTGGTCGCGACGCGAACCTACCGTACCCGGAATCCCCGAACTCCTCCTCCTTTTCCCTCCTCCTCCTCCTCCTCCTCCTCCTCCTCCTCCTCTTCCTCTTTTCTTCTATTCTTTAGGTTTTTTGTGTCACAGCCGCTGTCGGCGTCGGTGTCGGTCCTCGGACGCTGCCATCCATGCCCCTCCTCTTCCTTCTCTTCCTTATCTTCAGTCTCCTCCTCCACCTTTTCCTCCTCCTTCCCCTCCCCCCCCTCCTCCTCCTCCTCCTCCTCCTCCTGCTCCTGCTCCTCCTTCATCTCCTTCTCCTCCTCCTTAATCCTTTTTCTTCATCTGTAACCCCACCCTGTCGCGATCCCAGACGCGTCGGTCGGACTGGCCGGGCGTTCCGCGCGAGACTCCCGCGCCTTTTTCTGATGCTGAAGCCTGGAATCTGCAACAGCTTGAAGGACGGAAAGCGGGCCGTCTTGAAATTTGTGGCTCTCGCCTTGGCGCCGCGCGCTTTCGCCTGAACAGTTTGCGAGCATTTGACGGATGGAGGGCGGGCCGTTGTCAAGACGTGGCTCTCGCTTCAGCACCGCACGCATTCGTTTCTAGAACCTTGCAGCAGCTTTGAGGATGGAGACAGGGCCGTATCCAAGATGTGTGGTTCTCGCTTCAGCGCCACGCGCATTCGTCTCAAACGTTCGCAGCAGATGTAAGGATTCTTACGTTTGGAGCGTCTGGAGTAGAGGTCTTGTGCGAACTAGGACTGTCAGGATGCAGCAGTCGCGTTGGTTCGCAAGGTTGGAGTCCCAGGAGCGGTGCTTTTGCACAATTCAGGGTTGTCAGTACGCAACAGTCACGTCGATTGGCGAGGTCGAAGTCGTAGGCGTTGTGTTTTCGCATGATTGAAGATTTGTAGGCGGCTGTATTTCACTGGGGCACTTTGCGCAGGAAGTCGACGTCCATGCAAGGGCCCACGAAGAAGGAGCCTAGGGAGATAATTCATTATAAAATCGTCAACGCGTCTTGGGTTCACTCTGGTCCTCCTCCTCCTGTATTCTCTTTGCTCCTCCGCCTCCTCCTTCTCCTCCTCCTTGGGTTTTGATGCTCCTCACTCCTCCTCCTCCTCCTCCTCCTCCTCCTCCTCCTCCTCCTCCTCCTCCTCCTCCTCCTCCCCCCCAGGCGGCCGGGGTGCTCCTCTACTCGTGCCTTCCGTCCCCGGACGCCTTCGTCGCGGCGCCCGCGGCGGGTCCGCGCGCGTGGGCGGTCCCCACGGGGACCGGCAAAGACTGCTTCTTGGGGGGCCCAGACCTCCTCGGGGGCAACGATAGGGTTGTGGAAGTCGATTAATGGAGAGGAGGCATGCTGCCAACTAATTTCCAGATGTCTACACGATGTTTCAAACATGTCTTTAACATGTAAGAAAACATGCCTGAAACGTTTCCAGAACATGCCTTACACATTTTTACACACATCCCTAGTTCAATGATAGCATTGTTAGAGTGTCCATTGATCGCCGACAGAGTGTCCATTGTCATGGCTAGAGTGTCCACTGTCATGGCATCCACAACCATAGGGAGGGATAGGCACAGAGGGGGATGCATCGACCCCCAGTCGCCCACTGCGCGCCGGCAGGGGCCCGACGGCCCCGACCCGCCCCGGGAGGTGCGGAGTCGCTATCGGGTGCCCATCGCCGATCTGCCGGCGACGTATCGCTGGTTCCAGGTCGATGCATTTTTCCCTGTGCCTATCCCCCCTCCATCGTTGCCCCTCAACTCCGACGTCGTGGTCTCTGACGTCGGGAGGCTGATTTAGACTGGTGGAGGTCGATTCATGGAGAGGAAGCGTGCTGCCAAATCATTCCCAGATGTCTAAGCGATGTTTCAGGCATGTCTCAAATCTGTAAAGCAACATGTTTGAGGCATTCCCAGAACGCGTTGTGTGCACATTTTGAACACATCTTTGATTCAATGACGGGATTGTTAAGAGTGTCCATTGTCGTGGCATCCGCAAATTTAGCGACTCGAGATTTGGAATCCAGGTCTCCGAGCGTTTTTTCCGGGCCTCCCGGGGCGCCCTCGGGGCCGCGGCCGCGCTCTCCTTCGGGAGCTCTCTGGCCCGCACGCGCGCCCGTGGACGCAGCTCCAGGCACGGCCTGTGGTTGTGCACCTCTGCGCGGCCCCTCGAGGCTCCAGGGTCTCGGGCGCTTTTTTCTAGCTTCCTGGGTTTCCTGCGGCCCCCGTGGACACAGCTCCAGGGCCAGCCTGTGGTTGTGCACCTCTGCGCGGCCCCTCGAGGCTCCAGGGTTTCGGGCGCTTCTCTGTAGCCTCCTGGGTTTCCTCCGGCCCCCGTGGGCACAGCTCCAGGGAGAGTCTGTGGTTGTGCACCTCTGCGCGGCCCCTCGAGGCTCCAGGGTCTCGGGCGCTTTTTTGTAGCTTCCTGGGTTTCCTCCGGCCCCCGTGGACAGCTCCAGGGAGAGTCTGTGGTTGTGCACCTCTGCGCGGCCCCTCGAGGCTCCAAGGTCTCGGGCGCTTTTTTGTAGCTTCCTGGGTTTCCTCCGGCCCCCGTGGACACAGCTCCAGGGAGAGTCTGTGGTTTGTGCACCTCTGCGCGGCCCCTCGAGGCTCCAGGGTCTCGGGCGCTTCTGTAGCTTCCTGGGTTTCCTCCGGCCCCCGTGGACACAGCTCCAGGGAGAGTCTGTGGTTGTGCACCGTGCGCGGCCCCTGGAGGCTCCAAGGTTTCGGGTGCTTCTGTAGCTTCCTGGGTTTCCTCCGGCCCCCGTGGACAGCTCCAGGGAGAGTCTGTGGTTGTGCACCTTGCGCGGCCCCTCGAGGCTCCAAGGTTTCGGGTGCTTCTGTAGCTTCCTGGGTCTCCTCCGGCCCCCGTGGACACAGCTCCAGGGAGAGTCTGTGGTTGTGCACCTCTGCGCGGCCCCTCGAGGCTCCAAGGTTTCGGGCGTTTCTGTAGCTTCCTGGGTTTCCTCCGGCCCCCGTGGACACAGCTCCAGGGAGAGTCTGTGGTTGTGCACCGTGCGCGGCCCCTCGAGGCTCCAAGGTTTCGGGCGCTTCTGTAGCTTCCTGGGTTTCCTCCGGCCCCCGTGGACAGCTCCAGGGCCAGCCTGTGGTTGTGCACCTCTGCGCGGCCTCTCGAGGCTCCAGGGTTTCGGGCGCTTTTTTCTAGGTTCCTGGGTTTCCTCTGGCCCCCGTGGACAGCTCCAGGGAGAGTCTGTGGTTGTGCACCTCTGCGCGGCCCCTCGAGGCTCCAGGGTCTCGGGTGCTTCTGTAGCTTCCTGGGTTTCCTCTGGCCCCCGTGGACACAGCTCCAGGGACAGTCTGTGGTTGTGCACCGTGCGCGGCCCCTCGAGGCTCCAGGGTGTCGGGCGCTTTTCTGTAGCTTCCTGGGTTTCCTCCGGCCCCCGTGGACAGCTCCAGGGCCAGCCTGTGGTTGTGCACCTCTGCGCGGCCTCTCGAGGCTCCAGGGTCAGCTCCAGGGAGAGTCTGTGGTTGTGCACCTCTGCGCGGCCCCTCGAGGCTCCAGGGTCTCGGGCGCTTCTGTAGCTTCCTGGGTTTCCTCCGGCCCCCGTGGACACAGCTCCAGGGAGAGTCTGTGGTTGTGCACCTCTGCGCGGCCCCTCGAGGCTCCAGGGTCTCGGGTGCTTCTGTAGCTTCCTGGGTTTCCTCCGGCCCCCGTGGACAGCTCCAGGGAGAGTCTGTGGTTGTGCACCTCTGCGCGGCCTCTCGAGGCTCCAGGTGTCGGGCGCTTTTTTGTAGCTTCCTGGGTTTCCTCTGCCCCCGTGGACACAGCTCCAGGGAGAGTCTGTGGTTGTGCACCTCTGCGCGGCCCCTCGAGGCTCCAGGGTCTCGGGCGCTTCTGTAGCTTCCTGGGTTTCCTCCGGCCCCCGTGGACACAGCTCCAGGGAGAGTCTGTGGTTGTGCACCTCTGCGCGGCCCCTCGAGGCTCCAGGGTCTCGGGCGCTTTTTTGTAGCTTCCTGGGTTTCCTCCGGCCCCCGTGGACGCAGCTCCAGGGAGAGTCTGTGGTTGTGCACCTCTGCGCGGCCTCTCGAGGCTCCAGGGTGTCGGGCGCTTTTTTCTAGGTTCCTGGGTTTCCTCTGGCCCCCGTGGACACAGCTCCAGGGAGAGTCTGTGGTTGTGCACCTCTGCGCGGCCCCTCGAGGCTCCAGGGTCTCGGGCGCTTTTCTGTAGCTTCCTGGGTTTCCTCCGGCCCTCGGGGCGCTCTCCAGCAGCTGCGCCTCGTCGAGGGCGTTCCGGGGGTGCCACAGGGTCGTCCCGAACGGCCGCCAGAGGTATGACCCGCAAACCCAAATCTCTGGCGATCTGATGGCTCAATCTGCGGTTTGTCCTCGCCTCCGCGCTGTGGCGGGCCGTCTGCGGGCCCAGGGCCCGCCCGAGGGCCATGAAGAGCGGACCTGGGGCGAGAAGCTGCCTCCAGGGAAGCGCTAGGGACCTCTGGAGCCGCGGATTGAAGTCTCGTACCAGCGGACGTCAGTCGGAGGCCTGGAAATTGGCATCAACACCAGCACAGGGGGTTGCCTCCACATGGGAATTGGTGGAGGCACACCACCGATCTTGGTGTTGGTGTCAACCTCTACGCCTGCTAGTCAGGGAACTTCTCGTGGCTCGGTGCGACCCGATGCCTGCCTGGCCCTGCTGTGCATCCCGGCGTGGCCGATGCGATGCGGTCTCGGCTCGGTGCCGACGCGGGCCGAGGCGGCGCGCGCGACGGTGCGGGTGTCCGATGTCCCGAGCCGAGGCTGGCCGGTCCTGCCACGAGGGGGGGGGCCATACCTGCAGCGGCGTTGAAAAACGAGGCTCGGGGGCCGAGGCTGGATACTTCTGGCCCTCAGCCTGGCCTCCTCGAGGCTGGATGCTGCTGGCCCTCTCCTGGCCGAGGTTCAGGAGGGGGAGGAGGAGGAGGAGGAGGAGGAGGAGGAGGAGGAGGAGGAGGAGGAGGAGGAGGAGGAGGAGGAGGAGGAGGAGGAGGAGGACGAGGACGAGGAGGACGAGGACGAGGAGGAGGAGGAGGAGGAGGGCCGAGGTTCGAGGGCCGAGGTTGGATGCTTCTGGCCCTCTCCTGGCCTCTTCGAGGCCTCCTCGCTGCCGGGACGGGGTCCGCCTCGAGCTCCTCCGAGCCGCAGGGGAGGTCGGGAGGTCGGCTGTTGGGAGGGGTGGTCCCGGGCCTTGCAGCGTCTTCGGGTCCAGGGTCGAGGTTCCTTCCAGAGTCGAGGGTCCAGGTTCCTTCCAGGGCTCGAGGGTCGAGGTTCCTTCCAGGGTCGAGGATCGAGGATCGAGGTTCCTTCCAGGGTCGAGGGTCGAGGTTCCTTCCAGGGTCGAGGATCGAGGATCGAGGTTCCTTCCAGGGTCGAGGATCGAGGATCGAGGTTCCTTCCAGGTTCGAGGGTCGAGGTTCCTTCCTTCCAGGGTCGAGGATCGAGGTTCCTTCCAGGGTCGAGGATCGAGGTTCCTTCCAGGGTCGAGGGTCGAGGTTCCTTCCAGGATCGAGGATCGACATTGGAGGCTTTTGAGAACGTCCTCTGGCCCTCTTCTGGGCCTGCGCATGGAGGTGCCCGCTGGGAGGGGGTGGCAGTCGAAGCCACGCGGTGATGATGATGATGATGATGATGATGATGATGATGATGATGATGATGATGATGATGATGATGATGGTGGTGGTGGTGGTGGTGGTGGTGGTGATGATGATGATGATGATGATGATGATGGTGGTGGTGGTGGTGGTGGTGGTGGTGATGATGATGATGATGATGATGATGATGATGATGATGACGATGATGATGATGATGATGATGATGGTAATGATGCAGAGGATGATGATGCTGATGATGATGGGGATGAGGATGAGGATGACGATGATGATGATGATGATGATGCTGATGCTGATGAAGAGGATGGTGATGACGACGATTACGAGGATGAGGTTGAGCATGAGGATGACGATGATGATGATGATGATGATGATGACGACGATGATGCTGCTGCTGCAGATTATGTTGATGCATAAGATGAAGAGGACGAGGATGCCAACGATGCCGATGATGACGATGACGATGGTGACGGTGATGATGCTGGTGAAGAGGAAGTGGATGAGGATGACAATGATGACGATGATGCTGGTGAAGACGATGATGATGATGTTGACGCTGCTGCTGATGATGATGATGATGATGATGACGATACTGATGATGATACTGATGCCGATGACGAGGATGATGATGAGCATGATAATGCTG